CCTCCCCCTCCTCCTCCCTCCTCCTCGTCTTCCTCCTCCTCCTCTCCGGCACTTGAGGCCCTCTGAGGATAACCCAGCACTGAAAGGCCAGAGAGCACTGAGCTGAAGTTGGTCTCAGTTGTTAGTTTTGCCCTGAACTAACCAGTGTCCCTGAAGCCAGGGAATGGGGTCACAGTGTGTTTTGTCACGGGGTCCTAATATGGGACCATGAATGTCTGACCTCAGAGGGCAGAATCTAATTATGACCCGTTCATGAAACTCTATGAAAATTTTGTGTATTGTGCATTGGAGATAAAGAGCTTGCATTATCTTTGCAAAGGAATCTGTTAGCCCAAAAGACTTAGAACCACTGCAGTTTACTGGGTAAGTTGCACCTAGTCTATGAGACTCCAGGGTAGACTTGAATTCCAATTTAATTTGATGGCATACATTTTGTCATCCCACCCCTAGAAATGTGTTTCCAAATCCATGATGCCCTTGCCACTCACCTTGCCAGGTCATTGAGATCCAAGCGACCGTCATTATTTTTGTCAAAGATTTTCATCTGAAATGCAGAAAGGAAAATGGTTGCAAGAAATACTTGTAACAGGATCTCATTCTGAAGGTTACTAAAGCCTTCCTTACTTTGCCCTTCTAATTACACATTTGCCTTAATTGGCTGAGGAACACATCTGCTTGGGTGAAATTGGTATTTGCTACAAAATGAATTGCATCTTAGTTTCTGTATGAGGATGGTCATAGTAACTAAGCACCCCAAATCTCTACCACAATACAAGATCATTTCTTCCTCATGTTATATGAGATTCCAGGGTTGGCTGGGAGCTACTCCATGTAGTCTGCACTCTGAAATTCAGAGTAACAAAGTAGCTACTGTCTGACAACATTGTTAGTTGCCATGGCAAATACTTAGTAATTAAAATGTCATCATCCAAGCAAGTTGTTGGCCATACCTAACTTCAAAGGGGTGAGCAGTACAGCCCTATCATGTGCTTGGGAGGAGACCCACTATGATTTGGGGGATATCAGAAGTAATATCCATTTCTAAAAGGCATAATGGGATTTTACATACTGATTACGAGCTTGGAATCTTGATTTTTGCTTTGACTCAGGATTTTCAAAGTATTTTATAGCCCCCATGTAGCATAGCAACAGTCAAGTCTAGGGGCCTCATATCCTAGAGAACTCCCTGTAGTTTAAAGAAGAAATCCCATGTTTCCATAAAGATAAGGAACTGAGCTGAGCTTCTCCTCCCATGGAGAAACTCACCTCTTCCCAAAGTGCCTGATTATATTATTAGAGCAGACATTGCTTACATAAGACAGGACTCAAAGTAAAAAATATCTTTGCTAAGCATACATCAGGAAAATCAGATTGTTTCAGGCAAAATCGAGGAGATGCACTTATTTTCAGAGCTGAGTTGGAATGTGAGTGAACTCTGCAATGTCACGACACATTAAGTCTGCAGAATTTCTCTAAACATATCTATATAAGGAAGCTTCACAGGGAAAAACCGGTGAAAAGAATCTTAAAATATATCTAACAGATTTTTGCTTTAAAAAATATGCTAGTCTTCTATCCTTTCTCCCTCTCCAAATCAGTTTACATTTTCAAGTCAATTTGAAAGCCCATTCTCCCCAAACACTGGCACCGAACATTTATGTTATAGAATCTCTTAAGTCACAGGTCATATTTTTATACATTTGGACGTACTGCATGTCCAGCTGGGTCTCTTAAACATAAACACTATATTCAGCCCCACCTACTGTCTGGGGGGGATGTGGGGCTGGGTGTTCCGTTACCAGCTACGTATAGCTCACTGGGCACTTCACTCACAGGTAAGGGGCTCCCTCTCCACTGAGCAGCTGAGAACAGGGGCGCAGAGCTGTGGTAACATGTCCGGATCACAGGCACGGAGCAGATCAAATGTTGATAAGTGCTAGACAGGAACTTTGTTTGTCTATGATATGCCCCAAACACCTGGGACAACAGCTCGCATGTGGTAGTCACCCAATATGTGCTGGGTTATAAGTATTTTCCCTCCTGTTGGCACTAATTCATTCCTGGAGAGTTGTAACAATTGGGAGTAGGGTTCCCTTCTGAATGGTAGCTACTGTATGGTTGTAAGGACCTTACCAAACAATCTCACCTCTACTGCTGCTTTTCCAGTCCCATGCTCAGAGCTCACCTTTTCCAGTAGAACTGTAAGGAGATGCTCTGACAAGTAAGCTTGATTGCATCAACTGGATTGGCTTGGGAGCCACCCAGGAGACTGGTAGAGCACACTTATGGGTGTGCCTGGGGTCATGAAGGTATAGCCTTAGAGTCTATGTCTGGTCCCTGGCCCCTCCCACTCTGACGCTACTCCCCTGCACTTATTCTCAGTCACCATGCAGTTTTACTCTACCACATCCTTCCACCATCATGTTTCTAACTTGGATCCATATGACCATCGACTGAATCCCCTGGAATCATGAGCTAAGTTAAACCTCTCTTTTAAGTTATGGATGCCAAGACCTGTGTCCCAACAATGAGAAAGTTAAGTAATGAAAGTGCTATAAGTGTGCCCATAAATGGAGTACAATGTCTTACTGACAAACTCCTTAAAATTTTGTGATTGGTAGTTCCCTTCTCAGGCAAGATATATCTTAAGGGCTGCCCAGCACTAGACTGGTTAATGTTTCTTTATAACTTTTCAAATCTTGATAGACATAGCAGTTATTATGAAGTATAAATGTACCTAAAATCACTACTAGATTAGTATTAACTTCTCTTCAGTTGATAGTTTCTCAAACAATAGAACGAAAACACAGTCTAGTGATACAAGAACCAATCTATGATTTTTTTTAACAATTGATAATTGATCATTAAAGCAGGCTACAAGACAGAAGTGAAAAATACACACATATCCAGCAGGAAGAATACGATGTCCCTCCCTTACCTATTCCAGAGGTAATGGCCACTCAGAGAATCCTGAGTATCCTAGAAACTTCTGAAGTGTGTGCACATACGTATTACCCACCAACAGATAGAACCTATTGCCAATAGGACTGTATTCTATATACTGTTTCTCATCTTGTTTTTTCATTTAACAATATTCTTTTAAATCATTCTTAGTAGTTATTTTTTTACCTTAAAAGGGGATATTTTATTATAGCAACAAAAAATGAACAAATATAGTAGCCAGTAGGATTGACTGATCAGATATGATCAGTGATAAAGTGATAAAGAGGCAAGAGTAAAAAGGGAAAAGAAAAAAATGTGAGAGAATGAAAAGATGAAAATAAAGTGTTTGTAGATGGGGAGGGGAGGAGGGGGTGAAGGGAGGGCAGAGGTAAGGGGAAAAAATGAGAATCAAGGCTTGTCATGTAGAGATACAAGATCCCAACAATGAATGTAACTGTACTGTATCCCTAAAATGTACCAATAAACTCAATTAAAGCTGAAAAAAAAAAAGATGTTTTCAAGAGTTTTGCCTTGAAAAATCTGGAAGGTCAAGTTCACCCCAGTGGAGCAGGTGTGTGAGTAGAGTACAGGATTTCAATTTGGACCTGTTAAGTTTGAGATGCACCTAGACATGGTGATACACATCCAGGCACACTGAAAGAACTCTGAAAAATGGCCTGAGCCAGTAATACAAACTAGGGGTTGTCAGTCTTGAGCTAGGACTTAAGGCCAAATTCCAGTTTAGATTCTCTGTAGAGCAGGGGTAGACATGGGAAGAGAAGGTAGCCCAGGACTGAGCCCTGACCTGTCTCAGGTTGACCTGGCTCAGAGAGGGGTGTGCCCTGATCTAGGAGGGAAGCAAGCCAGAAGCCAGCTACTTAGATCCAAGTGTGAAGGATGAGCCAAGACCAGGGTACAGGATGGGGGCCAGTTTAACCACATATAATTCCCTTTGTAGGTCAAAGTCTCAGATTTTAATTATTGCTTTACAATATTTCACATTCCGTGCTCTCCTTTGGTACATGAATTTAACACCTCCCAGGGTATTAGCTTACATTTACCAAACTAAACATTATCTAACAATGTTCTATCCAGGCTGCAAATCATCCCCTGCCCACTACTGGCAGCACATCCTGCTTCAGTATCACAACAGTGTTTTATGTCCTTCCGTGTCTAGAACATTAATTAGGAATCAGGGTAAGGTAAGGTGTGAGACGTCAGCTTCTCTCTCCTGATTGGCTGTTTGGCATGATTCATTCATTAGTCACACTTCAGAGAGTTTTCAAATGTGTCAATCCTTATTCAGGTCAATTTGAATCCATGTAGTAGGTGCCATTGCTTAAGCATTTTATGCTAAACCTTAGAACCAAAGCTTTAACACAGTGTTACCATGACTGTGTTCCTTGCCCAATAAAAAGTCATTAAAGGAGCAGTAATGTGATTTCACACTTGGTGAGTCACTTAGAGCTCAGGATGTAGAAGTCATTTTCAAGAAAGTTGATTTGTAAAAGTTGCTTTTGTTTTTGGTACCAGGGATTGAACTCGGGTCCTTGAGCTTACAAGGCAGGTGGCAGAAACACTGAGCCAAATCCCTGGCCCAATTTCTAAAAGTTAATACACTCAAAGTTCTCTAGGAAAAAGTAAGAAGTCCTTTAAAAAAGCAATAGTCCTATTCTAAAATCTGTTCATTGGAAAGTGTGGCCTCCTCTGCAACTTAGAGAGGAATGAAAAAGATTAGCCAAAATCTCATCAAACTCATTTCATCTTCTGGTCAAACTCAAATCTTTGGGCAGAGACTCGGCAGACTTCCTTAGCAATCATCTCAGTGCATAAAAAGGATAAAAGGGCTGCTGCAGGAGGAGAGTTTCATTAGTCATGGCCCTAGCTCCAGGGGATGATTTCAAACAAAAATGAGTGTTTAACTGCAGCACACCTGAGCAGAAGAGCTACGAAGTTTTAACAATGAAACAAACACAGAATAGTAATGTCTCAGCCAATGGACAAGACCTCTCTGATCCCCCTGAGCTATATCCCAGAATGCTAAGCTGATAGATCTAAACACTACATCATGAAGACTTACACATCACAAGGCTTTTCAGCTCCAGGCATCCGAGTGTAAGCTACTGCCAGTTGGTGCTCCCTTAGATTTAAGCTTTAAGGTTATGAAGAGAACAGCTCTACCAACTTGGGAGTGCCAGGCTGATGTATGCCATATCAGGTCCTTTGAGACAGAGACTGCACTGACTTTCTGAACTCTCACAGTCTCCTCCCTGGCCCCCACCTTTGACAGGGGCTATCTTAATGGGAGCCTTTGGGATTGTATGCAGGCACCATTCACTCCTCTACTCCCTTCCCCCAAAGAATGGCAGTTCCTCTCTTCTCCAAAACAATGGTATTTTCTTTATTTCCTTTATTTTCTTTATTTATTTTTTATTTCCCATTTATTCCCATTCTTTATTACCCATTTATTTCCCATTGCCTTTCATTAATTTGTTTTCTGCTTGGTATTTAATAAACTGTTAATTCTTTGGGTTATTAGGGATTCTGTGCTAAGAAAAAAATATTCTTTCTGGGCAATAAATTCTATTGTGGTTCCTGCAT